ATGGTGTCTGAGGGCGAAGTTGATCAGTCGGCAAAGGCTGCTCTGCCGGAGGATCGGGGATTCTCATGGCGATTCTGCGGCCGAAGTGCACGTGCGCTGCGTGAGCGCAGGGAGCGAGGGGAGCCCGCTAGCCAGTGTGCAGACCTGGACCTGGTGGACCTGGCGGAGGACCTGGAGGAGGACCTGGAGGCGGACCTGGAGGCGGACTTGGCGGAGGACCTGGCGGAGGACCTGGAGGCGGACCTGGCGGAGGACATAGCGGAGGACCTGGCGGAGGACTTGGCGGAGGACATAACGGAGGACCTGGAGGCTGACCTGGAGGACCTAGAGGCGGACCTGGAGGCGGACCTGGCGGAGGACCTGGAGGACCTGGAGGCGGACCTGGTGGACTTGGCGGAGGACCTGGAGGAGGACCTGGCGGGACCTGGAGGAGGACCTGGCGGGCCTGGAGGAGGACCTGGCGGGACGTGGAGGAGGACTTGGCGGGACCTGCAGGAGGACCTGGAGGAGGACCTGGAGGCGCACATGGAGGATCTGGAGGACCTGGAGGAAGACCTGGAGGCGGACGTGGCGGCGGACCCGGAGGACCTGGAGGCAGACCTGGAGGAGGACCCGGAGGACCTGGAGGAGGATCTGGGGGAAGACCTGGAGGAGGTCCTGGAGGACTTGGAGGATCTGGGAAAAGAGCTGGAGAATCTGGAGGAGGATCTGGGGGAAAACCTGGAAGAGGTCCTGGAGGATCTGGAGGAGGACCTGGAGGATCTGGAGGAGGACCTGGCGGCGGACCTGGAGAATCTGGAGGAGGACCTGGCGGTGGACCTGGAGGATCTGGAGGAGGACCTGGCGGCGGACCTGGAGGATCTGGAGGAAGACCTGGCGGCGGACCTGGAGGATCTGGAGGAGGACCTGGCGGCGGACCTGGAGGATCTGGAGGAGGACCTGGCGGCGGACCTGGAGGATCTGGAGGAGGACCTGGCGGCGGACCTGGAGGATCTGGAGGAGGACCTGGCGGCGGACCTGGAGGATCTCGAGGAGGACCTCGAGGAGGACCTGTAGGCGGACCTGGAGAACCTGGAGGAGGACCTGGAGGCGGACTTGGAGAACCTGAGGGACCTGGAGAAGGGCCTGGAGGAGGACCTGCAGGATCCGAAGGTCCTGGAGGAGGACCTGGAGAAGGGCCTGGAGGAGGACCTGGAAGAGGACCTGGAGGTGGACCTGGAAGAGGACCTGGAGGAGGACCTGGAGGACCTGACGGAGGATCTGGAGGACCTGGAGGCGGACCTGGAGGAGGAACTGGAGGAACTGGAGGAACTGGAGGACCTGGAGGCGGACCTGGAGGCGGACCTGGAGGAGGAACTGGAGGACCTGGCGGCGGACCTGGTGGTGGCGATGGCGATGGTGATGGTGGTGGCGGCGGTGGTGATGGTGGTGATGATGGTGGTGGTGATGGTGGTGATGATGGTGATGGTGATGATATTGGTGGTGGTGGTGATAGTGATGGCGGTGGTGGTGATATTGGTGGTGGCGATGTTGGTGATGATGGCGGTGGTAGTGGTGATGGCGATAGTGGTGGTGGTGATGGCGATAGTGGTGGTGGTGATGGCGATAGTGGTGGTGGTGATGGCGATAGTGGTGGTGGTGATGGCGATAGTGGTGGTGGTGATGGTGATAGTGGTGGTGGTGATGGCGATAGGGGTGGTGGTGATGGTGATAGTGGTGGTGGTGATGGCGATAGTGGTGGTGGTGATGGCGATAGTGGTGGTGGTGATGGCGATAGTGGTGGTGGTGATGGCGATAGTGGTGATGGCGGTGGCGGTGGCGGTGGTGGTGGTGGTGGCGGTGGCGGTGACGGTGACGGTGACGGTGACGGTGACGGTGACGGTGACGGTGACGGTGACGGTGACGGTGACGGTGGCGGTGGCGGTGGCGGTGGCGGTGACGATGGTGGTGGCGGTGGTGATGGTGGTGGCGGTGGTGATGGTGATGGCGATGGTGGCGATAGTGGTGGTGGTGATGGCGATAGTGGTGATAGTGATAGTGGTGGTGGTGTTAGGAGTGGTGGCGGTGATGGTGGCGATAGTAATGGTGGTGGTGATGGTGGTGTTGGGGGTGATAGTGGTCCCCCCTCTCCCTCTCTCTCTCCCCCCTCTCACTCTCACTCTCTCTCCCCCCTCTCACTCTCACTCTCTCTCCCCCCTCTCACTCTCACTCTCTCTCCCCCTTCTCACTCACTATCTCTCCCACCTCTCCCTCTCTCCCACCTCTCCCTCTTTTGCTCTCTCCCACCTCTCCCTCTCTTCCTCTCTCCCACCTCTCCCTCTCTTCCTCTCTCCCACCTCTCCCTCTCTTCCTCTCTCCCACCTCTCCCTCTCTTCCTCTCTCCCACCTCTCCCTCTCTTCCTCTCTCCCACCTCTCCCTCTCATTCTCCCACCTCTTCCTCTCTCCCCTCTCCCTCTGTCTCTCTGTCTCCCTCTGTCTCTCTGTCTCCCTCTGTCTCTGTCTCCCTCTGTTTCTGTCTCCCTCTGTTTCTGTCTCCCTCTGTCTGTCTGTCTCCCTCTTCCTCTGTCTCTGTCTGCTTCTCTCTAAAATCTAATGTTAAAACAATAAGATAAGACTGAGCCAGTGGAGCCAAAGGTTAATTGTTGTAGACACGTTGCGTAATGAAGGCTGGTGTTCCTGACCATGGGGTTCCAAAGGCGCCCATATCTTGACAGAAATGAGCGCAGGCAGAACTCTGTCCTGGCGAAGGCCATACGCACTTGCTCTTGTCGCGTCCACCACAGGTTTTGTGTCTGGAGTCGTGTGGAGTGGGAAGGCGTAGGCTTGACAGATGTGGAGTCAAGCGTTGTTACAATGGTTAAAGTGTGGCACTTAAAAATGTTCAGATCACTACAACTACCCACAGGCACGGGAGTCGGAATCTGCCGACAAACGTTAGTTACGAGGAAGCCTACCCACAGCAAGTCCCTTTCGGATTGATTAAAGCCCACCCATTGCTCTGGCGCAATCAACGCGATGCAAACGGGACACGCTCGGCAGCGGAGGACTAGACAAACGAACGCCGGTCTCACAGCATCAACAGCACATACAACAACAACACTCTCACAGGACAGGACAGGATCTGTAAAGTAGAGTGCAGCTTAGGGACACGAGAAACAGGCCATAACTATTTAAAAGGGGCATGCATTATTCAAAGTCAGTGAAAATGTTCTGCCGGATTGACGACCTGGAAAAAACACATTCATGCTCTAATCAGAACCATTCGCCATAAAAGCCATTCACCATTAAAGTCAAAGTCATTGACATGAAAGAGAAAATAAAATATAGAACAAGTAACAAGGTAGTCTCGACTTCAACATTGGCATCAGCGTAGAACACCAGCAACTAGGTTCTGAAAGTTGATATGTCGTGCATTAGCGTACATACATTATATGAAGACAAAATATTTCAATATAGTACATAGTCACACGATCACTGAGCACTAGGGTTTGGTCCACGCAACGTGCCCACTGCACCATTTCGCTGCATTAGGTCCGATGTCTTGCATCCTTCCTTTTACGATGTATTATACTGCAACCCATGCTCAGCTAAACAGGCAGCAAGCAAGGCAACAGCAAAGGGGTCCTCTGCTTCTACATGATCAATTTCATCATCTACCACCTCGTGTGGCAGATGCAATTCCTGGGGTGGATAATAGAGCTTCATGTAATTTGCATGAACTCTACGCTCATGAGCTTCTCCATACAGATTCCTTACCAGAAATACAACAGGCCCTAATTTCTTGTCGCCCCGTTGGGAAGGCCCGGCCCGTGTTGTCAACGTATTTGATCGCTTGTATACCTTGTATACCTAACAAAGAAAGATCCCTGGTCCAACCCATTCGAGCTTTCCTGCATGCTTCATGAGCAGCAGTCCAGGCAAACAAATGTAATGGCTGGTCCATTACAGAGCGGTGTATAGAGGTATTTAGAGCAATCTTACCTGAGGAAGAACATCGTCCCAGTAATATGCAGCCTGGTCAGAAAGGGCAGTCAGAGCTCCTTTTACCACTCTGTTGGTTCTCTCTACCATACCGTTTGCTGTGAATTCCAGACAAAATTTAAATTGACACATCTGTACAATCCTCAAGCAAACAGAAGTCAAGAGGTTATTAAACTCTGCTCCCTAATCTGTCTGCAACTCTAGTGGTGGCCCATACACTGTAACAAAATTATCAATGAATGCAGTGGCAGATATTATCAAGTCCACATAACGGGATAGGTGGTTAACTATCACTAAGGTATAAAGATTTCCTCTTTCTCTAGGTGGTAATTGAATCAGGTCTGCTGAAACCCTTTCAAGAGGACGGGCAACTTCTGGTGCTGCAGCTAGTGGTGCATTTTTACTGGAGTGGCCTTTCTTCATTTGGCAATCTGGGCATGTCTTAACAAACTGTTTGGCAAAAGAGAGCATATTAGGGAAATAGAACATTGTTTTGGCTTTATTAAATGTTCTGAACATACCTGGATGTGCTGACAGGGGTGAAGCATGGGACAGACGTAATGCTGACTCTCTCAAATGGCGAGGCACAACAACCCTGCAAAGAATCCGATCACCTGAGTCCTGCAAATGGTACAAGAACCCATTCCCAACTTCAAATTCAGCCAAGGATGCTGGTAACTTTGCAGTAGGAACTAATCCACTCTCCAGGTACTCGACTATCTGTGCCCAGGTAGGGTCCGTTAGCTGTTCTGCATGCAAAACCTCCAGTATCTCTGTGTCGGCAGCAACCGCGGCGGTTTCAGCTCTTGATATCATATCAGGTACATGGTGTATAGCTCCTTTTTTATAGATGATATCTAAGTTATAATGTTGCAGGTCAATACACCATCGAGACATCCTTGGACTTTTGGTCTTCCTAGTGATCACATACACCAGTGATCGATATACAGTGAATTTCTGTCCATAAACATATGGCTCGAAGGCCCTCACTGTCAGTGGCACTGTAGCGAGTGGCAGTGAGGCACTCGCTGTTGTAGTCTCTGGTCCATTCTTTTTTCTGGAGAAATAGGCTACAGCGTGAGGCATGCCCTCTGTGTCACGTTGCATCAAGCATGCGCCAATGGCTATTTTTGCGGTGTCACAATGGACCTCAAAAGGTTTATCATAATTAGGGTTTTGCAGGGTAGGGGCAGATACCAAGGCATACTTCAGGCTCTCAAAAGACTGTTGACATTCCTCAGACTAAATAAACTTGCTGTTCTTCCTTGTCAAAGAGGGAAACGGCGCACTCCTCGTACATCCTTTGGGCGACTCATTTCTGTTATAGCAGTTAGCTTTTTGGGATTTGGACGGATCCCTTCAGCTGATACTTCAAAGCCAAGAAATGCTAATTTCCTTACAGCTATCTCACATTTTGCCAGGTTCAAACGCAAACCGGGTCTGTGTAACAATTTAAGAGTCTCTTCTAAGTGTCTGAGGTGCTCCTCTGTACTTCTGCTAAAAATAACCACATCGTCCAAGTAAGCGGCTGTGTGGCGACCTAAGACAGAAGATAGTATTATATTAATAGTTCTCTGAAAAGTCTGTGAGGCTGTCTTCAGACCATATGGCATTCGTCTGAACTGCCACACACGAGCCCCATCACTAAATGCTGTCTTGGGTCGATCTTGAGGTTCCACAGGGATAGCCCAGTAGGTGGAACGAGCATCCAATGAGGTGAAAATGCAGCTCTGGTGTAAGTCATCAATAACTTGTTGTATCTGGGGTAAGGGATAAGAGTCAGACGTTGTTATTGCATTTATAGTACAGAAATCAACACAAAACTTACCGTACCATCCTTCTTGCGAACGAGAACCCCTGAAAGGCTGGTGTCATTGAACCTTCCACAAGTCCTTAGCTTTCACCAATTTCAAGAAGTAAATCCTGAGGACTTTGGAATTCCCTGAGTCGTTTACTGGAAAGCTGTCGTAAAAATTCTGAGACAGATACAAGTTTTGCGGAATAACTTCCAAGACGCTGAGCAAACAGGGTCCAATCTTGGAGATCATCGAACAAAGGGGAATTGATAACCCTTTCTGCATCTCCTCGGCAGTGTATTCTTGCAGCATCACCAGACACCTGCAGTTCAATCTGGCGAATCCAGTGATCTACCTCATTGTTCCTTTGTAAAGCCTCTGCTGCTGGAGTTTCTGCTTCAATGCGGGCCCGGTTTTCAGAGACAAACACAGGTGAAGGTTCACGGACTGGCAAACTAGGTAGCAGATTGATCCGATTGATCGTAATTAATATGGCGGTTCACAACACCTCAAAGGCTAGCACACCCAGTCATCAGATGGTTATTTCTGTCACCAATCTCCTTGACCTCGGCACGCAACTCACCCATCTGTCGCACTAACTGTTCTAAAAGGGCATGCATTGATCCCTCAGGCTGAGCTGGCACCTCTTGCGCTTCTGCACCTTGGACGTCTCGTTCCGTATCGGTCCTCGAAGAATTGCGGGTTTCTCTACCCACAGCTCCCTTCTTCTTACTGAGGCCATCAGCCATGTTCGCCGATCGTGAAGCCTGTTTTAAAACTAACGGTGGGAGGCACAAACAGGATCACTGATGGTGCACCAGCATCACAGACCACTAAACATTTACCTGGAACAATACTGCAAGGGATACATTAATTGTGTTAAAGGCATGAAAGGCACTAATATAAAACGAAAAAAAAGCATTACTGTACTGCACATGCCAAAAAGAAACTACTGTAAAGGAAACAACATAAAACACAATAAAACAAAAGGATTACTGAGCATAAAACAATAAAACGTAAAACACAATAAAACAGATTACAGAACGTAAAACACAATAAAAAAAAAGGATTACTGAGCATAAAACAATAAAACGTAAAACACAATAAAACAAAAGGATTACTGAGCATAAAACAATAAAACGTAAAACACAATAAAACAAAAGGATTACTGAGCATAAAACAATAAAACGTAAAACACAATAAAACAAAAGGATTACTGAGCATAAAACAATAAAACGTAAAACACAATAAAACAAAAGGATTACTGAGCATAAAACAATAAAACGTAAAACACAATAAAACAAAAGGATTACTGAGCATAAAACAATAAAACGTAAAACACAATAAAACAAAAGGATTACTGAGCATAAAACAATAAAACGTAAAACACAATAAAACAAAAGGATTACTGAGCATAAAACAATAAAACGTAAAACACAATAAAACAAAAGGATTACTGAGCATAAAACAATAAAACGTAAAACACAATAAAACAAAAGGATTACTGAGCATAAAACAATAAAACGTAAAACACAATAAAACAAAAGGATTACTGAGCATAAAACAATAAAACGTAAAACACAATAAAACAAAAGGATTACTGAGCATAAAACAATAAAACGTAAAACACAATAAAACAAAAGGATTACTGAGCATAAAACAATAAAACGTAAAACACAATAAAACAAAAGGATTACTGAGCATAAAACAATAAAACGTAAAACACAATAAAACAAAAGGATTACTGAGCATAAAACAATAAAACGTAAAACACAATAAAACAAAAGGATTACTGAGCATAAAACAATAAAACGTAAAACACAATAAAACAAAAGGATTACTGAGCATAAAACAATAAAACGTAAAACACAATAAAACAAAAGGATTACTGAGCATAAAACAATAAAACGTAAAACACAATAAAACAAAAGGATTACTGAGCATAAAACAATAAAACGTAAAACACAATAAAACAAAAGGATTACTGAGCATAAAACAATAAAACGTAAAACACAATAAAACAAAAGGATTACTGAGCATAAAACAATAAAACGTAAAACACAATAAAACAAAAGGATTACTGAGCATAAAACAATAAAACGTAAAACACAATAAAACAAAAGGATTACTGAGCATAAAACAATAAAACGTAAAACACAAT